TCAACCTTGCTAGTTGTAAGCCCATGTTTATAGCCAATACAGGTGCTGCCCACCTGCAGAGCCCACCTGCAGAGCCCACAGATGCCCTGTCTCCCTGGGGCTTCAGGTCCACACCCCAGGTCCTCCTAGCCTGTTCCTTCCGGCCTTCTGCTCATCTGCTCTGAGAAGCAGCTTGGCGGGGCTGCCCAAGGAAAAGGCCTGGAGGCCTGACCCCAGGGTGAGGGCCCACGCGTCCTGTTGGAGCTGGGGGACGTGCCCGGATCAGGAACAAGTATCTGGCCTCAGAGCCCAGAGGGAGCGGTGTCGCCTGTGGAGCCGCAGGGCTGGGTGGGAGTGAGAGGGCAGGAGGGCCCCGGAGGGTGAGTCCCAGCCCCACACAGCCATACTGGGGGCGTCTCCAGGTTCACCTCTCCTAACAAAGCCTCAGGTTCCCAGGTGTCCCTGGGGTGTCTGCCCCGCCTCCTTCATGAGGTAACAGTCACACGCTGTTTTGGGTGGGATCTCCATAGGCCACGGCCAGTCTCCCACCCGCTGTTTGAATCTGGGCTCCAGCAGGCCCACAGGTGGTCACCAGGCTGCCCTCAGATTCCCTGACTGGGGTGAGCTACTTCCTGTGGGCCCAATACTTTAATTTTTTAAAACTAGAACCAGAATCATTTTTATTTTCTGAACATAAATAAGTTATTTTCTGATAATTATTTACATGCTCATAAAAATGTCGTAAAGAAGAAGAATCTCATCACCCAGAGGTATCTCTTTATTTTTTTCTATTTACACCTGTGCAAAGGATCGTAGTATTTATCTTTTGGGGGTCAGTTCAGCTGCAGCTAGAGTAACGTAAGCAAACAAGGGCTAAACTGTCTCACAGGGCGAGAAGACCAGTGTGGCTGCAGCTTTGGTTCGCGAGCTCCTAGCTCCGAAATCCGCGGGACTCTCTGGGCACCGCCCTCGTGGTTGCAGGACAACTGCAGCAGCTCCAGCCACCGAATCTGACCAGCTGCTGAAGGCCAGCCAAGCTGGCCATCACCTGACCACTTCCACCTTTTTATCAGGACCCCAAAACATCTCCCTGCGGGTCGCGCTGGCCAAGCCGCATGGGGACCCGGGGACCCGGGGCGGTGATGAGGGCTTTGGGTAGGTTGTAACTGGTCCCGTGGGAGTGGGCGTGTCAGCCCCCCAAACAAGTCAAAGTAGGAAGGAATTCATAGTGTTTGCTGCATTCCTCTTTATAATCTCTCTTTTTATTAATTACATATCATAAACATCTTTCCACACCAAGAAATACAGACTTAGGGGCATGGAGGGAAGAGACCGATTTAAAGAAGACGGAAAGTTAGAAAGGTGGCTCCCCGGGCACGGGGAGGGTGGGGAGGAGCTAGGGGTCGGCGAGCACAGAGCTTCCGTGAGAAGCGGCGGACGGGCCGGCACAGCGCGGGACTGCGCCGCTGTGAGGCGCACTCAGTATCCCTGAGCTGCGCACGTAAGTGGTTCACATAGTAAGTTCTGTGTTATCTGTATTTTACCACGATTTTATTTTTTTATTTTTAAAGGTTTTTACTTATTTATTTTCAGAGAGACAGGAAGGGAGGGAGGAAGAGGGAGAGAAACATGGATGTGTGAGAGATACATCTACTGGTTGCCTCTCTCAAGCCCCCCACCGGGGACCTGGCCCACAACCCAGGGATGTGCCCTGACTGGGAACCAAACCCGTGACCCCCTGGTTCACAGGCCCACACTCAGTCCACTGAGCCACACCAGCCAGGGCTACTTTACTACAATTTTTTTAAAAATATGGACTCAGGCATTTATTTAACAACAATTTATTGAAGGCCTACTGTGTTTCAGGAACTCTGCTAAGCACCCAAGGCACAAAAAGAAACAAAATAAAAAGAGTCCCTGCCTTCCTGGGGCTTACATCTAGCGAGCCATGCAGAGCGTCTTCACAGGGACCCACCAGCAAATGCGGAGTTACCAAGGAGACACGTGCTGCCGAGGAGAGGCAGCTGGCGCTGTGAGAGCCAGGCGCGAGGGGGCTCCGCACAGTCAGTCTGGAGGGCCGTCACTGCTGTGGCCGCACACCATTCCCTGGCTTGGGGCTGTCGCATGGCGGAGCCAGCCTCGCACTGCTGGCGTTTAGAGCCTTCCCTCCTTTGAATCACCATGAACAATGTCGCAGTGACCCCTGCGGGGTAAGCACATCCCGCACGCCTGTCTGGTCACGCATTCCCTCGGGGTGCCTTTCCAAGGTGGAACTGCGGAGCCCAGGGGTGGCCCGAGCGCGGAGCCGGCAACCAGGCACCACCTCCTGGTCCCCAAGCGTGTGTCATTCCTATTCCCGAAACGATGTAACACAGAGAACCCTGTTCATCCACATTCTGCCAGCACCACCTGGTGCTGTCCCCTTCACAAAATGCAGCCAGTGTTGTGGGGTGAAATACGGCTGCTGCTTGTTTTAATTTCCTTTGATTGCTCTTGAGGTTGACTGTGTTCTCGTTGGTTTCTTTTATGGGGTCACAGATCTTTCCTGTAGCTGACATCCTTTTCCTGTCTGATCACTCTCTCTCCCCTCTTCTCTCTCAGAATTGTGACCTCTGTCTCTCAGATGTTCTCTGGGCAGCTGAGTGTTATGAAGTCCTCCCTTTATGGAAACCTGGAGCTCTGTCCTTGAGGCTTTCCCCTGTGCTCCAGGGCAGTACCCGTGGCCCACCCTGCTCAAGCCCCCAGTTCCCACCCCATGTCCTCCCCGGCCACCCTCCACACCCACAACCCCTAAACACAGTGGGTGACTCAGGGCTCCCAGCCTTTGTCCAAGCTGTTCTCACTCCCCTTTCCACCCTAGGGGAGGCTTCAGGACAGAGCTCCATGCGGTGACTTCTCTGAGACGCTCTTGTTGACATCCGAGGCAGGGTGTGACCCCACCCCACACTGCACTTCTCCATGCTCAGCACTGACCACGCTGGCCTGTCACTGTTCATTTTACGGTTATCCGTGGGGGTGGGCCTCTACCCCAGACAGGCATGGGTCAGATGGATCTCTCTGTCCCTTGTGCTTAGCATGGGGTGGGGAGACACCACACAGGAGTGTAGACAGTTTGTACCCAGAAGGAAGAAAGAGGGAAGGAAGGAAGGACGAGAGGAAGGAAAGGATGGAAAGAAGGGAGGGAAGGAGGGAGGGAAGGAGGGAGGGAGGGAACCCACTTCTCCCTGCCCCCAGACTGGCTGATCAGGCATCTGAAGCCTGCCATTGCCCAGCTACTCACCACCCCAGGCCCACTCTTGCCTGGGTTCAACATGAAGGATATGCAGGTGGCTCGGGAATTGTCATTATCTGAAGAATCAGGTGGGAAGGCCACTGTCTGACCTGGGCACTGCCTGGGTCTCTCGGGCCCTTACCTGCCCTCCCCCAGGCTATCTTTGAACTGGGCACTGCCTTAGCCGGGCTCTGGCATCTTGGATGGAATCCATGGGGTTCCCCACTCTGCTCCGCAGGGTTTGTGGTCAACAGTGACGACTCTGCTCTGGGACACTGGCTCCACCAAGGTTCACCCAGTGCCACCCTCACAGGTGGAAAATTTTTCACAGGTCAGGCTGGGAACTGAATTCCTGCCACTGGCCATGAGCCAGCCTTCTTGCCACCCGTGCGCTCCCCTCCATTCCCTTTTGTACCCATCCCCTTTTGTCCCATGTCACTCCTCTGCTCAAGAACCATCGATGGGCCCTGGCTGGCGTAGCTCAGTGGATTGAGCGCGGGCCGCAAACCAAAGCATCGCAGGTTCAATTCCTAGTCAGGGCACATGCCTGGGTTGTAGGCCATGGCTCCCAGCAACCACACATTCATGTTTCTCTCCCTCTCTCCCTCCCTCTCTCTCTCTCTCTCTCTCTCTCTCTCTCTCCCCCCGCTCTCTCTTTCTCCCTCCCTTCCCTCTCTAAAAAATAAATAAAATCTTAAAAAAAAAAAAAAGAACCATCGATGGATCCTGCTTGCCTGTCAGATCGAATCTGAGCTGCATGGCAGGGATTCAAGGAGCCCCATGACCCAGTTGCAGCCTCCCTCTGCCCCTGGTGGTTCTCGGAACCACCTCCCCCACCTCCTCCTCTCCTGTGGGGCTTGCCCGCACCATGCCCACTGCCTGAGATACCCCACCCCCCTTCATTACCTGTTTAAATCCTAGCTTGCAACCCATGCCTTCTCCAGATCAGCCTCCAAGGACTCCAGTCCTTGACAACCCGTGTAGAACACAAAAACTAAGCCCTTGTGTGCTCCAGAATCACCTGGCTTGTTTATCCCAGCTCTCTCTGGGGGTGGTTTTAAGACCCTGGACTTCTAAAGTTTCTCAGGAGAATCTGGTGACACTGACCTGCATTTGAGAATTGCTGATGAGGCAGTGCTGAACGCCAGCCCCAAGTCTGCACTGGCTCCTGATGCCTGCACACTGGACACATTCCCCTCGCCTCTGCAACTACTAGTAACGATAACTACCATTTACTGAGGGCTCGCCAGGCCCCAAGCACATGCAGAGCACCTGATATGCACGATCTCATCAAATCCTCACAAGATGCTATTAAGTAGATACCATTGACCTCATTTTATTGGTAAGGACATTGAAGACCAGAGTGGGTAAGTGTCTTGGCCAAAGTCACAGAACTCGGCAGGCGGGGGAAGCCAGTCTCAAACCCAGGACTGATCGAGCCAAAGCCAGTGCCCCTCCTCACTGCTGTGTGTTTGTGTGTCTGGGCCAACGAGTCTTCCAAAGGGGCATTTGGTCCTCGTCCAGGTCAATTTGGATCAGTTCCATCCTGTTCCACCAGCACTATTGCCACTTGCTTTTGTTAAGTCCTAGAGATAGAAATATGGGTAGGAGGAGGCTCCTGCCCTTGAAGGACCTCCCAGTCCAGGTGGGGAGACTGGTGCACACATAGCCAGTCACATGAGGAAGGCTGGGGCCAGAATGGTGTGCGTCGTTTCAGCAGGACCCCAAGGAGAGGGTGGGTGGGGAGGGGTCCTGCCGCACGAGGGGAGAGCAGGGCCAGGTGAGGCTCCAGGGAACTGGTGGAATTGAGCCAGGTCCTGAGGGGTGAGAGAGAAGAGGATGAAGGGCATCAGGCAGAGGAAACAGGCAGGATAGCGTGAAGGATGAGTGTACCCATGGCTGCTGCCTAGGAGGGAGTGGTAGACAAATCAGCTGGAAAGGGCCTCAAAATGCAAGCTCAGAAATCTGGCCTTATCCCCTGGGCAATAGGGAGTCATGGAAGGTGTGGGAGCAGGGGGTGTCTGCCCTCAGCACTAGTGCAGGAGAAGGCACAAGTAGGTGCTCAATGGAACCTTGCTGCCTGGTTTGTTGATAGATGTCTTTGTCCTGTGCTCACTGGGCTTGGAATGACCTGGGATTACTGGACAGTCCCTGACAGGAATCAAAGGTCCTATTGCTATACCTCCCCCTCTCCATTTAACTCTTCTATGGGAGGGTGGGCAAATTATTCAACCTCTCTGCGCCTTAGCTTCCTCATCTGTAAAATGGGGATAACACACCAGCCTTGCAGGTTTTGAGAATAACATGAGACCACATAAGCACAGCACAGTCAGGGCATCATTGAGTCATCACACATGTGGGTCAGGTGACAGAGTGGAACAAGCAGGCACAGGGAACCCTGCTTGAATCCCAGCTCCGACCCGGGAATGGCCCTCTCTCAGGGCTGGTGCGAGGGTTCAATTCAGTAAGCTAATAAACGTGGGCAGCCCGATACTCAGCACATGCTCAGTAACTTTTGTCTGACCAGGCATGAGCAATCCTGCTTCTCCTCCTCGCAATCAGAGCACTGCCACTCTCACTGAGCACTCCGCCCCTCCTCCCCATCCTGAAGGGATTTCATTCCTGCCTTAGCTCCCTGTTGCTGGCTGTCCGCTGACCTGCCCCTTGGCACCTGGCTCACTGAATCCACTCATACAGATTCATAAGCAGGACAGACTTGATCTCCCCTGTGCAGATGAGGAAACTGAGACCCGGAGAGGGAAGGAAGGAGACTGACACTGTTTGAGCACCTACGACGTGCAGAAGGCATCTTGTCCATTTATTCCATTACAACAGCCTGAGAGGTAGGAAGTGTCCTCCCCACTGCCTAAATGTGGGTGTGGAGGCTCAGAGAGGGCCAGTGACTTGTCTGAGGTCACACAGCAGGGAACTCACAGAGGCTGAGAGCAAACCTGAGTTTTTCTGACTCCAAAATCTGGGATTCAGAGCAAACATTTACAGTGTGGGGTCAACAGATCTCTTCCCAGGGCTGCTGCAAGGACCATAGAGAGTAGTAGGTGTGAGGGTGCCCAGCACAGGGCTTAAGGACGGGGAGAATTGGCATCTTGCCCACCTCCACCTAGTCATACAGAGAACAGGGACAGAAGTCCAGAAGGGCTGTGACATGCCCAAAGTCACGGCAAGCAGTCAGGAGGAACCCAAGCTCCCTGCCCGCAGGGCTGCTCTCTTTCCCAGGTAAGGACAGGGGCCACCCCTCCATCCCTGCATCCCTCCAGGGCCTTTTCCCCTGGAGAGTGGAAACTTTCACAGTCCCTCTGACCTCACAGGAGGGTGAAAAGAGCAGAATTTCTGCCATGGCACACAAACTCGGAGCCTGCGGCTGCACGCGGAATCCCGGGGTTTGCCAAGGCTGCTCCTCCGGGCCCTTCTGCACTGCACCTGTCCTGGAATCCTGCAGAAAGAGCTCTCACCCGCCCAATTCACCCGCCAGCTCGAGGGACCATCCCAGGGGCCCGTGTTCTTAGAGGGGACTGAAAGGTGGCAAGGCCAAGGAAAGGGGCACAATGGTGGGATTTCAGATGCAATGAGCTGGTGAGACAGACCACGGAGCTTGAAATGGCCAGAGCGGAATGGAAGAAGGGCCCCAGCACATGTGCTGTTCACACTTTTAAAAAGCCACTGACCCTTCTTTTCAAATGAAATCCACAACACATTCTACCCCCCACCCCCTCACCATGGTCACTAGCGGCCCCTGAGGAAGAGCCCCCAAGCAATGAGCCCAGAGGAAGAACAGCAGCAGCCTGATGGCCAGGAGCCTCCGGCCCTCACAGCTGGGCCTGGTGCTCTGTAGAACGTGAGCAAGTTCACGGACAAGGCCACTCTCTGACCATGATGGGTCAAGACAAGTCGAGGCCCCTCGGTAGCCATGACCAAGCACAGGCAAAACACGACCATTGTCATGGTCACCACAGTCACTCTACATCCTCCTCTCCTGGCTGGAGGATGACAGCTGCTTCTTGGCCACTTACAGCTTCAGCTCAGGGCTGGTCTTCCCCCTGCGAGATTGAGGGACCCGGGTGCCGCATCCTAGAACCAGCCCTGCTCTGACAGCATCCGATGCAGAGGCAGAGTCGACAGCATCCGATCCAGAGCAGAGTCCTGCTGCCTCACACCCTCCTCCAAGCCACCTCCCACAAGCCCAGATCCTCACACCCTCCTACAGAGACGGTCCCCCTGGGGTTTGTTCTTCTCACTGCAATCAGCAATGAACCCAACTATGAGCTACAGGTGAGCTCCTGGCAGTCACCTGCAGGCTCTGGCAGGTGGATTCCATCAGATACCCCCACCGCCTGACCCCTGCAAAGATCAAAGCCGGGGCCCATCATGTCCCTTTGCCCATGAGGGGACCGAGGTACATAAAGGCAGCCTGACTTGCCCAAGGTCACAGAGTAGGGGGAATAAAGAGTTTATCACCCAAATGGGATATCTTTGAGAGTGAAAGGGCGCACCACTGGTAACTGAGCGGGGACAGTCGGCGTAGACCAGGACTGTTCTGGGCAGGCGTCTTGTCTCCCCACCACACAGCAGATGGTGGGGATCCGGGCCTGGAGGCAAAACCTCAGTCTCACCTTCTCCCTCCGCTGCCCCAAGCCCTTGGCGGGGCTTCCTGAGACGCGGTTGGTGTCTCCCTCTGGTGGGCCTGAAGCCAGAGGCCCTTGGTTTTCTGGGTAAAGTCTGGGGAATGCCCCGCCATGACGATTCAGGAACACGGGGGCCACTCGGGGAGACTGCACACCACACAGCTGTCTCGTGTGGTCACACCGCGGTGTTTGATGTTCACTCACTTCCCGGAGGGTGCCCGTCCCACCCGCCAGGCACGATGCCTCATTTACCCCAGAGGCTGGAACAGGTGGTTTCACATAAAAGAATTTGCAGGTGAGTGAAGGTGACCCCTTTCGATGTTGACGACGTTTTTATTTCAACTATTCGTGCTGGTGCGGCTTCTGATTCAGGTCGTCTCCCCCCACCGTAGTGAACGGAGCACAGAAACACACTACACCTCACCCAGTCCGCGCACTCGGGTCACGGGTGGGAATGTCTTCTGCGGCCGGGGCGCAGGGGGTGTGCCGATAACGACCGGGAAAGATGAGGGAGTGTTGGGGGCGGGGCTGTGCCCTTCTGACCCAGCACGGAGGGCTTCCCGGTCCCCGCTGCGGGGTCTCCCAGCCCTGACCCAGAGGCGCAGTCCAAGAGAAGGTCTCCCGTCCCAGGCGGCCCAGGGGGCTCCTTTGTGTGGACCTGGTTTGAGGTAGTGCCACTGCCCCTTCCTCTGAAGCAGCTGCCGCAGTCCCGGAGCTGGGGTGCGGAGGGGCGGAGCAGGGAGCAGCAAACGAAAAGCATTACGTTGGGTGATGCTACACCACAGTGAAGTCTTCCGGGGCTGCTGAGCAGGCGGAGTTGTTGGCTGCAGACTGCTGTCCCCAGACGTCTCTCTGCTGCCTCTGGGACACCAATTCTTTACTGTAATGTCTGTTTCCACCCTGGCTCCTGCTCTGCACTCTGCCCCTCACTTATGAAACACTACGTGCACTGGACTGTGAGTCCTCTGAAGGCAAGAGCTGTTCATCAGTTCATGCCTCTCCCCCCTCAAAGGTTCTGGCTTAGTGTCTGGCACATAGTACGTGCTCAGGAAATGCCACCTGAATCAAATTAATGCAGGAGGTGTCATTTCACCCGCAGTCCTAGGCCAATGCGGATGTATTCTGCAGGGAGGGGGCTGTTCTGGGGGTCTTCCCCTGGCTTCGTCACTCCTGTGCAGGCCATTTGGAAGTTTGAACACCAGAGCGTAGAGGGGCTGGGAGTCTGAGAGTCAGGGAAGTGGAGGAGGGGCTTATCTGCAAAAGTGTCCTAGGTTCTGGTCAGTTCCATACACCCTCGATGACCACCGACTCTGGACACGGGAGACACCAACGTGAGGGCAGCAAGGGCGCCGGCCTTGAAGTCGTGCTCCCACTAACTTGTTCCGGGAGGCTGTGACCTCAGGAAAGGCTTTCAAGAGGAGGGATGTGTGCGCTGGGGTCCGGCAGAGCAGCTCAAGTTTGCCAGGCAGACCACACGGGAGGGCTGGGGCAGCACGGCGAGTGTGAAGGGCAGAGGGTGCGGCATGGGGCTGACAGGGGGAGTCCGTTGGGAGGTCAGCAGAGGTCAGTCCTGGAAGGGTTTGGGTCCCTGAGCAGTAGGAGCCCCAGGAGGGCGTGGACAGGGACGCGCGGTTAGCTGTGGGTGAAGACAAATCACACCCCGTACCCGGCTCAGCAGGAACAGGGACCCTGAGGGGCCTTCCCAGAAGGTCAGAGAACCGGGCGTAGCCACAGGGAGGGCTCCTGTTCCGAGACCAGCTTTGGGGGGAGGCAGAGAAGCTTCTTGAGGGCCCCAGCTGTTGCAAATCCCCTCAAAGAAGTACATTTTTACCTTCAAAGCTTTAACCCCCAGGGTAACAATTAGAACAGCAATGGTCTGTTGAAAGTAATCATCCCTTCCCTTCCGGTCTCTTTACAGCTCTCCAGGTGCCCCAGGATCCACCATCTCACCCAAACTTCCATACAACCCCATTTTGCAGACAGTGAAATGGAGGCCCTGTGAAATCATACAGGGCTAGTGGCTGATGCTGGGCTAGCGCCCAGGGGCAGCTCCATCTAAGCCCTGAGCATCCAGCTCGAAGACCAGTTCTTTGTCTGGGAGGGGGTCCTCGGGGCTATCTGGCAAGCCGTAGTACAAGTCTTCTTCCTCCTGCTCTGGCTCCTCTACACCCGTGTCTGAAGCCTCATCCTCCTCTTTTGTCCTCGGGGACTGCTGCCAGTAGCTTGGTAAGGCTGTGTCCTGCCCCTGCCTCTCTGGATGTGTGTCCTCTGACGCAGGGGCATCGATCAGATCAAAGTCCTGGAAGCGGTCCAGGTGGCACCTGCAGGCCCAGGGCTCCTCCCCCTCAGGTGGAGACAGGTTGGGGCTGCTGTCCTCACTGGAGCCCAAATCCAGGTCATCTTGGAAGGAAGCCAAGGGTGCACAGCCGTGGGGACCCCCTGGGGGGCTGCACGGACAAACCAGAGAGAGCAAGGTTAGCTCTCAGTCAGATTGCCTGGGCCCAAACCTCAGCCACCAGGCAAAAGGCCAGCGGAGGCAAGTGCACATGTCCGGGCCTCAGCTTCCTCCCCTGTCAGGTGGGGAAGTAACGGTACTCACCCCTCTGGTGTCTCTGAGGTTTACAGCAGACGGGGGCCAGAGGCTCTGTGCCTGCTGATCCCATTTATTCTAAACAATGCCCTTAAGCAGAATAATCCTTCCCATTTTTCAAATGAGGACATATCAGCAGCCAGTGGCAGTGTGCAGAGCACTTCGCACAATGCCTGGCACATATTAGGTGCTCAAGAAACAAGCCATTATGATGTTATTGTCCAAACCAGTCACTCCTCCACTTCTCCAATAACTCAGGGGTCTCCTTTAGGCCCTTGGTCCCCATCACATTATATGTCAGTTTCTGTTCCCTCCCCTACATCCCCCATTGGACTGGGAGCTCCTGCAGGGTGGAGGCCACCAAGGCCTTGCAGGGAGTTGGTGCCAGTAACACTGGTAGGACGAGTGAGTAAATGGGTGAATAAGGAACCCAGTTCATAAACATCCAGGGATGGGGTGGGGTGGGGAGTGACTTGCCCAAGGTCGCAGAGCACATTAGTTGGCAGAGCCTGGATTGGAACTCAGGTCCTCTGACTCCCTCCCCCCACCCCACTACACATGACAAGAATTCAGACAGTACAGCACAGAGCTCCTGTGGGGTCCTTGACACTGAAATATACTGTCCCAATCTTCACAGCACCCCTCGGAGGAAGGAGTGATTCTTCCCATGTGGGGAAAACTGAGGCTCAGGAGGGTAAGAAACTGGCTAAGGTTACACAGCAGAATTGCTGGGATTTGAACCCAGGCCCATCTAAGTCCAGGCTCATGCATTTGCTACACCTGCTACCTCTCAGGTTATCCCCACTCCCACTGCTGTCTCTACTACCAAAAGCACCCGCCCACCCCTCAGTGGCCCGCACCCCAGAAGCGGGCATTGCTCCCGCTCCTGCGCTCTGCACACTCACCTGGGGCCGCTCTGAGTTGGGTTTCTTTCTCCCCCGACCTCATCCGAGCCCCTGTGGATGACCACAGGAGCCTCCATCCGGGCCTGAGCCTCACGAGGGCTGCCTTTCCCTCTGTCACTAGCTTCCAGCTGCTGCTGTCCCAGCTCAGGGGTCAGCAGGGAGCGGGGATCTTCACTGTAGCCCATGACCTTCATCTGGATGTGGCTGAAGTCAGGCAAGCTCTGGTCATAGGCAGCTTCCTCCCACAGCCTTACATAGGGAGACTGGGGGCTGGGTGGGGACCCAGCAGAAAGCAGGAGAGAGAACAGACAGGTGGGCGAGGAGTCATTCAGCAGAGAGCAGTGCTGTCCCCTGGCCCAGTGCTCTGCTGTGTCCTGGAGAGCCACAGCTGGGCACCTGCTTACAAGGGGGGCAGGGCAGGTCTGGTCTGTCAGTGACCCCCCAGGAAGCCTGGGGCTTGCGCTCGCACTTCTTGAGCCTCAGTTTCCACATCTGCATAAAGGGATGGCATCCCCCTCCGCCCCTTCACGTGGTTTCTATGAGGACTGAAGGAGGTAAGGGGTGCAAAATGTCTGATCTGAGGAACCTGTGCACCAGGTCCTGTTCTTAGTACTTTGCTCATATTATTATTTCACTGAACCCTCCCTGAACCCCCAGGAGGAAGGTGCCGCCGTTTTTACAGAGGGGGCAAAGAGAGTGTGTCACTTTCCCAAAGCCACACAGCCAGACAGTGGCAGAGGCTCGGGGCTGCACCTCGGCCACCACCAGGCCTCTCACTGTCTGCGGCAGCAACAGTAGTCGCAGCCCTCGGGATTCAGTGCCAGACCTGATGCTGACTTCTGATCTGCCACTAGTTCACTGTAAGATGGAACAGAGTCTCGGTTTCCTCATCAGTACAATGGGAATAATAATGCTTACCTCCCAGAACTGAGAGTTCAAAACAATCCATGATTTCTAATGTTGTATTCTTATTTAAGTGGGAAAGCCAAGCAGGAGCCTGGAGCAAGGGGAGGAGCCCCTGCCCCACCCCCCACACTCTCCAGTGTAAGAGGAGAGGGGCTCACCGTCCCTGCCCTTCACCCACCCCTCCAGGCACAGAAGACAGAGCGCCTACCTCTTCGTCTCGGCAGTGGCAGTGAGTCCGTTCTCCAGCAAGCCTGTTGTCTTTGAGGACAGGATGCCTTGGAATTCAGAGTCAGCAGGGATGAAGGCAATCTGCAGGGCAAGGGGGAGATGGCTTCTCTGAGGCTGCCAGCACACACCCTTGGCCACTGCCCTCCCCTCCCCACCCCCAGCCCTGGGGCACAGGCCTAACCTCGCCATGTGCCCTGGGAGAGAGGCCCAACCAGGGAGCACCTCCCCTTTATGACAGGAGAGGGTCTGCTGGGGCCAGCATTAGTGGGGGAGTGGATCCCTGGGCTCCTGCTCCCACGTGACTGACTGATGTTGACCCAACATTTATTGAGCACCTGCTGTGTGCCAGGCACTCTTCTAGGCCCTAGGGGGCAGCAGGGAGTGAATGAGACAAGCATCCCCGCCCTGGAGCTGCTCACGTCTTGTCCTACAGCAGGGTCCTCATCCGGTGCCCAGAATGTGCCTGGCGCCTCATCCGTGTCTGATGAATGAGTGCAAAGCAGGCCAGCCACTGTGGTGTGTTTCTTGGCACAGAGGCTGCAGTGGGGGATGGAAGACTGGGGTTGCCCCCACCAGTCCCTGTCCCTGAACTTTCGGGGATGGAGAGGTCTCTGTGAGTGCAGCCCCACGCTGTGGGCGTGGGGTGGTGGAGGGGAGGTGGATCGTAAAGAGGGACGTGGAATGAGGCAGAAGAAGCCTGCCTTTGGAGTCTGGGAGACTGAGTGAGAACCCTTCCTTGGGCAGGTCCCCTCCCCTCCCCGAGCCTCTCTGTCCCTCTCTGTAAAATGGGGCCAGCCTCGAAGAGACATTTGCTGCATTGCTCACAGCAGGCAGGGGGTGAAAGAGACCCAGGTGTCCCTGCATGGATGAATGGATAAACAATGTGGCTATCCAGGCAATGGGACATTACCCAGCCTTAAAACAGAATGAAGTTGTGACACAGGCTACCACATGGACAGAACTCGGAGAAACAAGCCAGCTGCAAACAGACAAATTCAGTGGGATTCCTCTAACACAGGTATCTAGAGCAGTTAAGGTCACAGAGACAGAAAGCAGACTGGTGGTTGCCCCAGACTGGAAGGAGGGGATGAGGAGTTACTGTGTAATGGGTAGAGAGTTCCGATTTTGCAAGGTACAAGGAGTTCTGGAGATCTGTAGCACAGCAGTGTAAATGAAATAACGCTTAAAAATGGTTAACACGGTCAATTTTATGGTGTGTATTTTACCACAATTTAAAAAATAAGACCAGCAATGCCTGTCTCCTTGGGTTGCTGTGAAGATTCCATGAGGGATTAACAAATAAGGAATCTCCCAGCATAATGCCCAGCACACAGTAGCTGCTCAGTGAATAACAGTTCAGTGCAACTGAAGATGAAGTTACCTTCCAAGTCCTGCTTGCCTCAACTGAAAGTTTTTTTCAACAAGTGTTTGATGAGACCCTTCTGTGCTGTGCCAGGTTCATGAGTAGCATCACGCTTTCCCTCCCCATAGGGTGCAGCGAGGAAGAGACATTTGTCTGCATCGGAACAGCTCCGCCTCACTAGGGAGACGGGAATGATGGGTGGAGGGGTCCTTGGAACTCTGTGGAGGGGTAAGCTTCCCTTAAATGTCTGGACATGACACAGGGGCCTGGGTATCTTCCACACCCATTAAGGATGGCTTGCACTCGCCAGCTGACTCTGCACTTCATAGACGCTGCCCCTTTCAATGCCTCAGTGTCACATGACCAAGTCACCATTTTCCTCCTCATCATCACCATCATCACCATCACCACCACCATCATCATCATCACCATTATCATCACTACCTCCATTAACATCATCATCATATCATCACCACCACCATCATCACCAGCATCACCACCACCAATATCACCTCCATCAACATCGTCATCGCCATGGTGAAAAGCCTGGAGGAGAAGGTAAGACTGGAGCACCTTCAAACACAAGTCCTTTCAAGAGAGGGGAGCAGAGCTGAAGCTAGGGAGGGGAGATCAGACCAAGAAAAGCCCAAAACATTAGACTAAGGAGTTCAGCCTTTATCCAAAAGCCCTGGGAGTCCTGGAGGAATTCTCCACTGGGGAGAGCCCAAGGATGTGTGTTTAGGCAGAGCATTCGGCAGTCCCCAAAAGGAGGGAGCAGAGGAAAGGAGGGGGGCCTGTGGAGAGGACAGATCCACCAACCACCAGTCATGGGCCGGCCCTGGGCTCCAGCCAAACAGGCAGGAGTGAGGAGGGGGGACCTGTGGGCAGGGGCAGAAGGTGGGCAGGGAGAGGCACCGCTTCCCCTGCCAACTCTGCCCTCCCTGCAGCCCCCCTGCCCCATCTTGGCTACCAGGGGCAGCATCCCTCACTGCCCCATCCAGTACACCTTCCCTGACTTCTCCTCCTCTCCACAGCCTGAGGCCCAGCTGACCGCCGCATCTGACCAAGGCCACCTCAGAACTTCAGTGAGATAAGCTAGGTGGACAAGCCGGTGCCGTGTCCTGCCACCGCAGGTGCTATGCACCTGACAAACGTGGCTTGTCTTCTCAGTTCCTACAGTCAGGGCTTCCATTCTGGCTTTGTCCAGGAGACCATCACCTCTCACTGGGACCCAAGGAGGAGCTTCCCCAGCAGAATGCCCCTGGGCCTTGCTCCTCCCCACCTCAGCCTGATGATTGTCTGGAATTGCAACGCTGATCGTGTCCCTCTCTTGTCCCATCAGCTAAAGGGGAAGATCCAGATTCCTTGGCGTGGCACCTCGGGCCCTGCAGAACTGAGCCCTGCTCTCTCTCCTCCGTACTCCTCCCCCACCCCCATACCCTGCTGCTCTGTCGGCGTGTGTCTTCGGTCATGCTGTTCCCCCCACCCCCGAAACGTCTTTCCCATCTTCTCTGCCTGGTGAGCTTCTGCTGAGCCCACGGAGCCCAGCTGCCCTCCTCTGTGAAGCCTACCCCCGCCCCGCTAGGCAGAAAATTGTCTTTCCTGCGAGGCCCCAGCCCCTCAGAGACAGGGACATCTTACTTCATGCTGGTACTGGCTACCTCTAACCCCCATGTCTTAACTGGCTGATTCCAGTCCCTCATATTTATATTTCTTTTAATCTAGGGGATCCCCACTTACCAGACACTCAGAGATAAGGGAGAATCCTGACGGGGGGATGGGCACCAGAGTTTGCTGAGCATTCTGATGCAGACAGGGCCTCCCTCTCCAATGCCCCCCCAAAAAAACAGGCCTCCCTTGTTTCCAACACACGTCCCCCCTCCCCTCCGTGTGCGCATGTAACACCCACAGGGGCCCACACCTGCCCTCGCCCAGACACGGTCCTGAGAATAATGCACAGAACAGCTCTGTGCCAGGTGTGATGTGGGTCCCCCACACACCTGACCCCACTGGTTCCTCCCACTGGGCTCGGGAGTGGGGGAGACTCCCTCCAACAAGGTCACAGAGGTGGGGCAGGGGGAGGAGGGATCTGAATCTGGGCCTGTTGGGCACTAAAACGCATTTCCGCCCCCACCCCCCGCCACTCCGCCGCTGCCTCCACAGCACAGGGACACGTGGATCCATCAACAGTTACTCATTAATACACGGCCATATTCCCTCTCCCCCTCTCCCTCACCCCCACTGCCACCCAGGCACTGCCCACCACCCCAGAGCCACCTCTAGTGAACAAGGGTGGGCAGGAAGGACACTACCTTCTGGAGCCCCGCTGTCCCCAGTGTCCAGCCTCATTGCTGGGAGGACGAGGTGGATGAAGGTGGTGACGTGGCTGGCTCGGCCCCAGGTACCTCTTCTCTAGGTGACCTGAGCCCGGGGCCTCGCACAGAGGCGAGTTGACTGTAAACTGCCGGGTAAACGACTGCAAACCAGCCAGGACCGCCCCAGCAGCAAACATGCTGCCAGTCTGGGGCTGGCCCAGGGAGGGGGCAGGGCTGGGGAGAGCCAGGCCCAGGCCCCCAGGAGCCTCCTCACTCCTGCCTCCTCCCCTGAACACCGCCCCCCACCCCCAGCACAGCCGCACAGGTGAAAGGTGAGGAGGGGACTGCAGGTGGTGCAGGTGGTGCGGGGCTGCCCAGGGCCCTAGATGTCAGGGCCAGTGGTGCCTTGGACCCACCGCTTCCCTGCCCCTGCTTCCTGACTCACACATCGTACAAATGAGGAAACTGAGGCTCAGAGAGGGAAGGGATTGGACCGAGTCTTCCAAGTTAGAATACATGCTTCTCTTTGTGTCTCCCTGGGTCTGTCTGACCAGCTGTGTGACCTCGGAAAAGCCACACAACCTCTCTGAGCACTAAAGGCTTACAACTCATGACATGTCCATTCCACGGGGTTGCTGGGAGGATCAGTCACCGTAAGGGTGACAGCCATTCACCTAAATATAACACTCTACAGTTTATAAAACATTCCTTTGTCCCATCTCTTCTCTGTTTGTAATAACTATGTGAGCTGGATGAAATAGAGGTTTGGGGCCCCACTTTGCAGATGTAGGAACCTGAGACTCAGAAATACAAAGCTCTATTTGGGACAGCGCTGGAACTGGAGCTCAGGACTCCCAAACCAATGCTCCCCCCATCACTAAGTCACTCACAAGGCTAGGAGTGCATGGAAGCTCTGAAAGAGAGAGGGCTGCCCAAGCCCAACCCAAACCATCCAGTTACACCTGGCCCACCCAGAACCCTCGGCAGCTCTGGGACACAGGCACAGCCCTCCGAGGTGGACTATCATCTGAGATATGGACACACATCTGAGCCCCGATGTCTGACCCTTAGGGGCTGTGGGACCTTGCCTTTCTGAGCCTGGAGCTCCTCCACTATACAATGGAACTACAGGGGTGGGTGCAAGCAGTCTGGAGGAGGCCTGAGCTGCACCGGGAATGCAGGAGTGACTGGCAGGTGGCCAGCACCCATTTACCTTCATTTCAAGCACATGGATGATTGTGTGTTGGGTTCCACTGTGTCTCCTCATAAGCCTAGTTCAGGGCTCCTGATGCAAGGGGCTTCTGATGGGTCTTTATGATAAGGGACAGACGGAGGGATGGACAAATGGAGGGATGGATGATGGATGGATGGGTAGATGGATAGGTGGGTGGATGGATGGACCATCAGAAGAGTGGACAGGAGACAAGGGAGTGCAAAGGGGGAGGATAAAGAGATGACCAAAGGAGGGAGCATTATGCCTAGAATAGAGGCCCAGCCCCCTGCCCACCTGGCCCTGGACCCCAGCTGACCCTCCGTCATCACCGCCTACCTTGGGGTAGCACTGGCACATGCTCCAGATGACGCCCCCGATCACCATGACGCCGCCCATGGCGTAGAAGGTGCCGTAAACCTGGGGCCGGTCGTGGCTCATGAGGAACGTGCCAAGGGCCAACAGGAAGAACCCCAGCACGATGAAGCCGATGCGAAAGGTCTTCTCATCCGCCATGGCTACTCTGCCAGGCTGTGGTCCGTGCACTGCCCGCGGAGGGGCGCCCGCGCACCAGCGTGGACACCACACCCCTCACACCCGGAGGGAGGACGCTCGGGGATCACTACAAACCCAGACTTACACTTGAATAAGAGACAGGTACAGCCGCAGCTCCTGGGCACACAGGCTCACCAGGCTGCAGGAGCTACGCTTCAATGGCCCCTGCCCCCACCACCCACCTTCACTCCCTCTCACCTTCCCTCTGGGCCCAGCTGGAGTGTGTGTGTGTGACTCTGAGTGAGGGAGTAGCCAGGAGGGAGAAGGGGTGGTTCCGGCAGCTGGGCCCCAGCCAAGGTTTTGACATCACCTCATTTGCCTGCGTGGGGCTGAGCTGGGTGGACAGGAGGCCCCACACCAGCCAGTCATTGGAAGCCCCGGCCATGCCGCAACCAAAACACATCAGAATGCCCCTGGAAGATTCCAGGGTCCCACAGGCTGGCATTTTAGAATCCTGAAGCATTCTAGGCTCTTCAAGGTCATGTGCCCATCTGAGGTTCAGGAGTCATAGTTCCTATTTACCGGACGGTGGCTGCATGCATGTCACTCTCCTAAACATGCGATAGATAGTACTCACTTGGGGGGAATCCTGTGAGGCAAGCACCACTGTCACACTTTATGAGGACACCAATGCACAGACAAGTCACTCACCCAAGGTCACACAGCTAGAAATGGCAGAGCAGCTGGGACTGGAACCCAGAGGCCATGCCCCTAGCCACCATGCGATACTCCCTAACTGTAGGAGGGTTAAAATTTCAGATTCTGGAGGCCAGGCACACAGCCTGGACTTGGGTAATGGGTCCTCTACCATGGGCAGTATGGCGTTGATCAAGCTACTTCCCTGTGCCTCAGTTTCCCTCCTCTGTAAAATGGGGATAATTACAGCACCTCCCGGGACAGAGCTGTCTGCTGGCCTGGCCTCTCTGGGCTCCTCTGTGAGCCGCTCTGGAAAAGGCTCAGGTATCTTAGTGCCCATGTAGGGTGTGAATGACTGATGGCAATTTCCTTGCCTTCTAATCTAGGAAGATGGCTTAATTTCAAGAAGAACATTGTAGTGGTGGAATCCAGTTCTGGGGATAGGCTGATGGGAAAAATCAGGTCCCCTTATAGGATTATAGGAAAATGAGGACCATCAGTGTCTCTAAAAGAAAATGTTAACTTGTCATTAGTATTTGGTTGCTAAATACTAATTAGTAACTTGTCATTAAGAAATTTAGTAACCTGTCATCAGGGTTTGGTTGCTAATGCGGGATATGGCCCCTGCTCGGCATCTGGAATTAGTAGGTTGGGGACTTTCCTGTTTGTTGTCCCCCTCCTCTCCAAGAGCTGTGCTCCGGGGCACCACGCCTGCGCCCACACCGTGCCCTGCGGTTTTGCCCACACACACTTCTCCCAGCAGCGGTTTCCCCTCCACCAGTCCCGAGAATCGAGGGTGCTTGCACCCCTCCACCAGGCCTCCGTTTGCAGGGGAGGGTCCCTGACAGAGAGCTCGGGAGAAAGCCCCCCAGTGAAAGGTTGCTGAGGACTTCAGAGGAAGGCTGAGAGTTAGCAGGTCAAGCCTAGGTCTGATTCCCTGATGCTGGTGGCTCCTCTCTTAGCTTTAATTTTGTCACCGGAGAACTGAGGGTGGTATCAGGGCCACCTCCCTGGTATTATGCAGGTAAGTGACCTAATGGAGGAGAAAATGCTTTGTAACCTGTGCTTATCAATAGGGCGGGGCCCACCACAGAAACCCTATTGTCATCATCTTACAGAGAGAACCAGAGAAGGGAAGCAGCGAGCACCCCTCCTAGAAAACAAGACGGAGGTCCAGAGAGTTCTCTGCCTGCCCTGTCTGGGAACGGATCTCCAAGGCTGCAGTCCAGCAGGAGTCTTGCGCGCCCTCTTGTGGCCATATAGTCTTCAGTTGTCAAGGTGCTTTCATCCTCTTTGGGTCAGGCCCCGTCCCTCCACCTGGAGAGCGGTGCGGTGGAGGGGTTATCAAGCCCATTTCACAGGTGAGGAAACCGATGCCGGGGAGGGGAAGGGACTGGCCAAAATCCTCTCAAACTGAGTCAGTGGCTGAGTGGGAACCAGGACCCACACAGCCTCAGGCCCAGTATAGATGGATCTGGTCCTTAACCATTCCTTCTCTCCCCACCTTTCCTGTCCTCTCCACAACTCAGTCTCCTTTCTCCTTTCTTTCTCATCTTAAAAAAAAAATAATAAAGATGTGAGTAAAAAGCTCTGGGACAAGTAGGTACTCAATAAAATGGGTCTATTCTAACCTCCTCCCCAGAGTCGTGGTGAGAGATTAACAGCAGTGTTGGGTTACGTACCCACGGTTCCCATTCACCTCCCACAGGCCTCTGACTTCTCCCTCTCTAGCAAAGGGCGTTAGAGAGGGCGGAGTGGTTGAGGAGTCTGTCGCTTTCCAGCAGAGGGCGCGCTAACCACTGTTTTCTTCCTGTCCTCGGAATTTCGGATCCTCACAATCCCCTCCGATGCAGGGAGGGGAAAGATCACCCCCATCTGACAGATGCCGATACTGAGGTTCACCGAGGCAAGAGGAGCACTCAGGGTCTCAGAACCTGTAGAAAGAGCCAGGATTCCAACCAGGTCCCCTCAGTCTCCTGTTGAGCAGCTGCTACGTGCAGGACACTCCAAGGTATGAGACATTCCCATAAACACAGGTTTTCAGAGTGATGACACTTAGTCCCGCCTTCTGGGGCAAAATAGAGTAAAGGCTCTGAGACCAGTGTGAGGTTCAACGTAAGCGCAAAGCAGAGAGACGGATAGACTGGGGGATTGGGGTGAGTAATGGAGAAGTTCACAGAAGGAAGCCTTGAGGAGCCCGCTGGAGTTCTTCTGTCAGGGCAATAAAAGCAGTTCAGACCAAGAGACCAGCATGTGCAAAAGTCCAGGGGCAGGGAAGCTCTGGCACATGATCGCAGATAAAATTCTAAATGCAATGCACACTCTTGTCCCTACACTGCAAACTCCTCTCCCCTCTCCTTCCCCCTAGACCTACCGCTCCCAGGTCAACTCCAGCCTTCCTATGTTGTCCAGGCCAGTACCTAGACAGCCTGGCCAACATCCTTACCTCCTCTCTCACACCTACCTCCTGTCGGCTCTACCTCCAAGATAGGAGAACCTCATCTCTTCTCACCCCCTGCTCACCTGAGCCTCCATCATTTCTGTCCCCCAAAGTGCTCTCCGCTTTTACCCTTGTCCCCTGAAGTCTCTTTCTAATCCAAATGCCAGGTCAGACCTTGCCACTCCTGCTCAGAGCCCTGGAATGACTTCAGAGTGAAAACCAAAGACCTCCGAATGCCCTGTAAGACCTTAGAATTTGCCCATGTTGCCCACCCCACCCTCCTCTTTGAGCTCCTCTTCTGCCATGCCTCCCCTCCGCCACTCCAGCCACCCTGGCTCTGTGCTCTTCTTGGAACACACAGGCACCCCAGGGCCTTTGCACTTGCTGTTCCCGCTTCCTGGAATGCTCTTCCTCCAGATCTCTGCGTGGCTCCCTCCCTTACCTTCTTCGAGTCTTTGTCCAAATGTTAGCTTTACCACGAGGTCTTCTCTGATGTGATAGCATCACCTCTGCCAGGTGCTCCCTTTCCTTCCCAGACTTACTTTGCTCCAGAGTACTTGTTGCCATCTCTGATACTATATACATTGTTTATTTATCTTGTCCCTTGTCTGTGTCCCCTCAACTCGAGCTCAGGTGCCCATAGCAGGGACTTTGTTTTGTTCACCGTGGTATCCTCAGGGGCCAGAGCAGGGCAGGCTCTAGATTCAGATAGGGAATGGAGGGATGGCTGTACGTTCCAGAGGAGAGGGTGCCAGAGAGGAAGCGTGGGCTGGCTCCTCCTGGGGTCATGCTCAGCTATCCAACATCTTCCTCAGAAGTCCGCAGAGAACTTCTAACAGGGATTTGCAGGGGAACGACACAGATCCGATTTTAGTTTTACCAAGACCCTCTGGTTCTGAGATCAGGTTGGAAGAAGCAAGAAGAGATGGTGGGAGTGAGGAGCAGTTGCCATGCTCTAGCCGAAACTTGGGGGAGGGGGGAGACTAAAGTGAACAATTTTGAGAAGTAATTAGTTGCTGGGGGAGGACAGAGGGTGGCATGAAAATTTACAGTTGGGAAACTTCCGACTGGTTTGAGGTGGAGAGCTGCAGGGGTCGGGGTCACCAGCCAACCCAGAGGATGCACTCAGGGGAAGTGCGACACGGGCCTGAGCCCCAAGGACCCGACATCTCGGGCCTGGTGGCAGGCACCAGGTGTGGGCTCTGAGTGGCGGGTGCAGAAACCAACAGCCGGGCCCAGGAGGAGAGAGACCAGGAAGCAACCTAGTACCCACTGGGGGCTGTGGAGTGGCAGACCAGCCTCACATGGCTCCTCCGCCCCCATGCCCTGCCAGTGAGTACAAGGGGCCCCGGCCCACAGTGAGACCACTGCAGCTCAAAAGGGCCAGGTGGCTTGCCTGACAGGAGACTGTCTCCATGACCCTGGTTCAGCCTCCAAGGTGTTGGTGACCTTGAACAGATCACTGCCCCTACTGGGGACTTTCACAGAGTAGTTGCTATAGAGAGAAAAGCAGAAAAGCTTTTTGCAGGCTTCCAGCCCTCCCTATCCTCTACATTCCAGCTCCCGCCAGGCCAAGGGGGTGCCTCCTTGTCCACCTGCAACTCATTAGCTCACCTGCCTGGGGAGATTCCTCACTTTGGGGCAGGAGGGAGGCTGGGCTCTGCTTCCCAGACTGGAATCCTATTAATGCTTCAGGAATTTCAGCGAGCCTGATGAATCCCCGCCCCTGTCCTCAGGATACACATGGAAAACTGGGGTGTATGTGTACAAAAGACAAAGGGAGAGAAAGAGACCAGCAGGGTCACACAGCAAGGTCAGGGCCAAGGCAAGATTCAAACTTACAAGCAAATCCTCTCCCTTGGACACAAAATCAACCCCTCTGCCAAGTGTCTTAAGATCACATCTCCCATTAGCCCTCGGCAGCTTTCCTTTTCGATGTAAGAGGTAAGCGTCCCGTTTAAGCACCCGTCTCCCCTTCCCTCCCCTTGTCTGTCTGCCAGAGACCACCCCTCCGCCCCTCCTGTTACTGTGTGCACTTAAGGCAGAGCGCTGCACATGGGTGGGAGTCCACCTTCTCCGGTGGCATGAAATACCAACAATGTAAAATCTCCCAGGAAGCCCGG